GAGGGAGGGGGAGAGAAAAAAAAACAAAAAAAAAAACTAACTCCACGAGACCGCTGTCTATAGGTCCTGCATTGCACCCCACTATCCCCTCGCCAACAAATAATGCCAGCCTCTCTCTGAACAAAATTATAATACATACCATTAAGAAACATCAGTCCAGCCCTTTAGATCTTCCTTAATCCTATTTTGGAGGTCTCTTCTCAAACAAAAACAGACGTGACATTTCTCCAGAAGACTTCAGGGAAAGGCTCCTATCTGCATCGCTCTGTGCCTTCCACACCGCGAAATCGCGCTATTCCCATCTAAAAAGTTGACACAATCAGTCACGTGGCACGAAGACGTAGGCGTGGCAACAACAACAAAACCGCTCCCAAGGTTCGATTTCCCGCCCCTTTCCTTTGCGCGCAAAGCACTGCGCGCCCTGGCAGCGCGAGGCCCTAGGAGGACGCATCGGTTGGGGTCCTGCTTTTACAGAACGCCCCACAATGCCCTTCGCTGCCCTCGACTTGGCGCCCCAGCTTCACACTCGCTTTCTGAGGCTGGGAAACCATTCTCGGGGCTAAGAAAAGGCCTGAGGAAGGCACAGAGAAAGCTGGGCAACGCCGAGAAGCTGTGGAATGAAATAACATCCAGGTGCCCCTCACCATTACGACCAGGATTGGAGGGACACACTTAGAGCCCGCAGCAAAACACTCCAAGCCCTATGAGGAAATGGAGAAGTGCAAAGGGACGTTGAACAGCAGAACGGCTGGAGCCACCTCAGGTTAGCGCACTGGAGCAGTCTTCCTAACACTCGGCTCCGCCCAGCCCAAGCACACCCGACCCAAGTCCCTCAGCACGGAGCCCAGCGCACCTCCCGCTCAGGCCAGATGCAGGGTGGAACAGGGTTCCCGTCGGGAGCTCCAGTGGCGAGCCCGACAGGCGATGAGTGGGGTTGGTCCGGAATGGGGTCGGCCCCCCTGAGTGGCAGCGCCGCGCCTGAACCCAAAAGGACCCGTGTGAGGGAACCAGCTGGCAAGAACCTCCCCGGCTCGCTCCGGTCCTCGCCTCGCTCGGTCCCTAAATCCAAGGAGCTCCCGACTATATATCCCAAGCTCCCTGGCCCAAATCCCCACTCGGCTTCCGTTTCCGGTGGTACCTCGTCCCGCCCCCAGGCGGCTTCCTCTGGGAGCCTCGCGACACCAGAGTCGTGCGCGGTTTCTGCTGGGATTCGTAGTTCACTTTTCCCTCGTCTCGCTAGTCGCTCATCCAATTTAGGACTTCATCTCCCGGCGTCCACCGAGGCGCTGGCTCTCGGCGCCTGCGCACCGCTCTCCCTCCGCCCTCCCCATTTCCACTCCCCCCCCCCCACTTCGCCTGCCGCGGTCGGGTCCGCGGCCTGCGCTTCAGCGGTCGGCGGCGTCCCTTACGAGCAGCAACCCCCTTCCCCCGACCCCGCTCCCGGTTCCAGTCCCGCTGGTGAGTCTGAGGCCGTCGCCGTGCTGAGTCCCCTGTCGCTGGGCGCGGCACATGGGGGTCTCCGCGCCTTGATGTGGGGGCGAAGAAGGAAGTGACTTGGTCTGGCTCCGAAAGAAGGAGGGTGGCTGAGGGACGGAGGCGGGGTGTGGAGACTCGCGCGAAGGGGACCCGACGGCCCCCCGGCCTGAGAGGAAAGGAGGGGCCTGGCTCTGGCTCGGGAAGGTGGAACTTCGGGGCCCCGGGCAAAGGCGCCGGGGACAGCCAGCCTCCTGCGGCGGTAGGAAGCAGAGGGCCTGCGGGGCCGCCGCCGCGGGCAGCCGGGCCAGGCTGCAGGAGCCCGGCGGCGCGGGTGGGCCGGTGGGTCGCTGCCTGCGGGCTGCTCGCAAGCGGTGGAACTTGAAAGAACTTCTCATCTCACGGGAAAGGGGCAGAGGCGAATCGGGGGAGCCGGAGAGGGGTGCTGCGAGCCTGCGAGCCTTTAAGAAGGGGTGGCCCCGAATTCCTCCGGGTTAGGACGCGAAGCGTGGGAGGAGGGAGGATCCCAGGCGGGGAGAGCGTGGCCTTCACTTGTGCGCTTGTTTTTCCAGCCGACGGGAAGATGAGTAGCTCCGAAGAGGTGTCCTGGATTTCCTGGTTCTGTGGGCTCCGTGGCAATGAATTCTTCTGTGAAGTGAGTTCCTTTCTTCTGCCCGACTTGCGTTCCCCACACACCTGGTCAGACGCCCGCTGAGACCATCGGCTCGGGCACACTTGCCTTACATCCGTGCAGGGACACTCGTTCCTGTGGAGGAAGGATCGTGCCCATAGCTGCGCTCTAATGTGTGTGGTGAAGAGGCAAGGCTGGGACCCAAGTCCCTACCTTGCCGCCCTGCAGCAATATGGCGTTGCACTAGCCAGCCTGTGCCTTTGCTGTTGCTGGAATGAGATCAGAAGAGTGCATCTCGGGTGGCTGTCGGGAGAACTGAAATGCTGCCTGCTAAAGTGTTCGGTGACGTGCAGAGCTGTGTGTTAACGTGAGGGATTCCAACTGCCTTCGGAAAGCAAGCTGTTCAGCCCCCATCGTCCTCAGAAAGTTAGCTGTCCCTAAGGAGAGGACAAAACTGGTTTCTAGATACAGGTGCACAAGTAGAGGCAGTGGTTTAGGAAAGAATGTCTCCGTGAGGATGCGCTGTACCTGCTTATTGCTAGAAGGGAAAAACTAAAGCTTTTATGGAAGAAATTGTGTGAGCTGGGAGGAGACACTTAAGTACTTCTGTGGAGTTGAGAATGAGAAACAGGAATAGTTGTGGTTTGTTAAGGACAAGGCATCAGTTGGAGCGTCTTACCCTGGCCAAAGTGGGGATTCTTACATGGATTAACCTCTTGAATTCTGTGTCCTGACAGGTGGATGAAGACTACATCCAAGACAAATTCAATCTTACTGGGCTCAATGAGCAGGTGCCTCACTATCGACAAGCTCTAGACATGATCTTGGACCTGGAGCCTGGTGAGACATCCTAGAGGTTGTTTAGTGTCTGGGTGTGCATGTACTTTCTCTTCCAGTCCCTCTTCACATGCTTACTGGTTTTATTTTTATTTTATGTACTGGAGATGAACCCATGGCCTTTGCCATACAAACTACCACACCTAGCTCTTCAATTTTTAAATTTGTTTTTGGTTCTCCAACTCCCATAACTCAAGATCTCCTGCTTTATTTTGATTCACCACTTGACTCTTGCATCCTAAATCTGTAACTCAGTTCCTACCTTTTGAATCTGTAGCTCATTTCTGTTCGTAATGCCACTTCCTTCACGGGCCTTATTTACCACTCCCTTCTCTGGCCTTGCATCTTCCAATCGAGATGTCCAGGCATTGATGTCTTTGCCATTCTGTGTTGAGGAAGGAGTTGGGAGGGAGAGAACAGAGCAGAGGCTGAGGGATGTGGCGAGAAGACAGAGCTGGTGAAGGGTCAGGCCCAGATTTCTGGATCAGATGCCTGGGCGATGAATAGGGTGAAGTACAGGGGTGGGTGCTGAGCAAACTAGCGAGTGGCCGTGGGCCATGGGTGGGGTGCCTAGGAAGGTTGGCAAACAAGAAGTTGCACTTGGCTGGCCCATGTTTCAGATGAAGAGCTGGAAGACAACCCCAACCAGAGCGACCTGATTGAGCAGGCGGCTGAAATGCTGTATGGATTGATCCACGCCCGCTACATCCTCACTAACCGCGGCATCGCCCAGATGGTGAGGCCTCTCTGCTCCCACTTGATTCCTTCTGAGGCAGTAAGGGAAGCAAAGTTTCCTGGAGCAAGAAGCTGTGCTTCATTCCCATCCAGGAGTCTAGCCAAGGAGAGGGGGAGAACCTCAGCTGGGGCCTGGAAGTTGAATCCGCACCGGGGTCAGGCTGAGGCGGGTGTTCTCAGGGAGGGAGACACGCTCCTGGGCGCGGGGAGTTGTTAAGGAATGCCGCTTCGGGAAACAGACAGTGAATGGCACTGATGTTTTGCAGCTCACTGAACAGCAAGAAAGGTGGCAGAGGAGTTTGAGGGCTTGTCTGGGCCAGGGGAGGGGCTTCTGGTCAGAGATGGGTGGCAAAGGGATGTGGGCTGGGCTGAGGAGGGAGTTGCCTCTTCCCAGTTTCCCACCAAGCGCTTCCATTGTGTTCACCTCAGTTGGAAAAGTACCAGCAGGGAGACTTTGGCTACTGCCCCCGTGTGTACTGTGAGAACCAGCCAATGCTTCCCATCGGTGAGTGTTGAAGAGGAGACAGGAGGGCACTGCCTGGCAGTCCTCCGCGGGTCGGGGCCCGAGTCCTAGGGGGAAGTAGGGCAAAGTCGGAGGTGCGTGGCCTACAGTTTCTGGCTGTCTCCCAGGCCTTTCGGACATCCCAGGCGAGGCCATGGTGAAGCTCTACTGCCCCAAGTGCATGGATGTGTACACACCCAAGTCATCAAGGCACCATCACACGGACGGCGCCTACTTCGGCACCGGTTTCCCTCACATGCTCTTCATGGTGCATCCCGAGTACCGGCCCAAGCGACCTGCCAACCAGTTTGTGCCCAGGTGGGGAGCAGGAACAAAATCCCCAAGGGTCAGAGGCGGGACCCAGGCAGCCTTCCCAGGAGAGGAGAGAAGACAGGCATAGCTTTTCTTGAGGCCTGCTCCTGCCAGAGGCCAGCCTTCTTCCCACTGAGTGACTGTGGGAAGATATTTAATTGACTCTGCCTCGGTTTCCTTGTCCATAAAACGGTGGTGCTAGCACACCCGGCAGTGTCTTTATCTGTGTGAGTTGTTCAGAGTCATTTGAAATGTCGTGGAAGTGGTAGCTGCTCCTGCACAGTCCCAGGTGCTCAGCCTTTTGCCGGATCTCAGAGCCTGGTTAAGCATGGTTCATCTTCTGGCATGTTACTTTTATTGTGCACTAGTGAAGAAAGGTTCTGCTTTATACTGAAACAAGTTATGTGTACCTCCTAGAATTTGAGTCCCTTTTTTTTTCATTTTTGGGAACTGTGTGTGTGTGTGTGTGTGTGTGTTTATTGCTGGCCATTGAACCCGTGGTCTCATGCTTGCTAAGGTGTGAGCATGTACTCTACCACTCACCCACAGCCCCCGGCCCCCTTTTTGTGGTTTGTCTTACCTTGTTTCATTTGGAGACAAGATCTCACTGGTGTGCAGGTGAGGCTCAAACCCCTGGGCTACAGGAAGTCTCCTGCCTGAGCTTCCCCGGTAGCTGGGATTAGAGGTGCACAACGACACACCCAACCTGGAATTCGAGTTTTAATGGATGTGTAAGATACCTTTCCAAATATTTATGAGCAAGTGAATTTGAGGCCCACTGTCCGAAAGCACTGAGCGAGCCCCTGGAGGAGCTGGGGGCGGTGGCAGGGGGAAGGCGGGATTCACCCTGCTCTCTCTCTCTGACCTCTGCCCTGGCCCAGGCTCTATGGCTTCAAGATCCATCCGATGGCTTACCAGCTGCAGCTCCAAGCCGCCAGCAACTTCAAGAGCCCAGTCAAGACGATTCGCTGATTCCCTGCCCCACCTGCTCTCACTCCGACACCGCCTTTCCTTTTCTGCCACCCTTTCAGGAGCCCTCTCTGGTTTTTAGTTTAAATTAAAGGAGTCATTATTGTGGTGGGGATATGAAATAAAGTGGAAGAAAAGGCCATGAGTTAGTCGGCTGGTGCTTGTGGTTGGGGAAGGGAAGGTGGTGGTGGGCTGGACCTAGGGGCGCTCGAGGCCCAGCCCACCCTGCCCAGGCTGAAAACCAGCACGCTTGGTGCCGTGGATCTGGGTGATGTCCCTAGAACAGTGGAGCAGAGCAGAATTCCTAGGTAGGGTGTAGGGAGGTCAAAGGGAAAAGGTACCAAGACTAGAGAAGTATTTGTTCTCGCTGGCGTTTCTACTGCAACAGGCTTTATCAGTGATACTCTCTTCAGTTCTGATTCCTTTTTTGTTGGTTTGCTTTTTGAGACAGGGTCTCACTATGTAGCACTCAGGCTGGCCTTGAACTTAGTGTTCCACCTGCCTGAGCCTGGCTTTCGGTTGTGGTTTTAAAGAGAAAGTGGGGCATGGTGGCGCACACCTATAATCCCAGCACTTGGGAGGCTGAGGCAGGAGGATAGCTGAGTTCGAGGCCAGCCTGTCTCAAAAGCAAGACCCTGTGTCAAAAAAAAAACATAAAAGGAATGTAGTCCTGGAGGCAAGGTCCAGATTGCTGCTCAGCGGTGTTTGTGCGCCCCCTGCTGGGGGAGCTGAGCCGGCTGGTCTGCAGGTTGGGTGGGGGCGCCTGCTGAGTGAGCGCAGTGGGACCCGAGTCTGGAGGACAGCAGGTGGTGCCAGACACAGCTAATGCCCAACCCTGAGGGGAGGACGTAGGCTTCGGGCATGTAGGATAGGGTAGACACTTCAGTGAAGGTTCAGCTGTCAGGTGGTGCCCTGTCTGGGCCGCCACTCCCACACTCAGGAGCCAGACTTTGTGGGTGAGGACACGTCGTCCCTCCTGCCAAGGTAATGACTTCCTCCTCGAGCCAGGATCCTGCCCCAGGCAGGAATATAGCTCTGCCCCTCCGGCAGCTCCTTTCAGATGCCTGCCAACAGCACCCTGAAGCTCTGGATCAAGGAGCATGGTCCCAGGAAAGTGGGCTTTCAGGGCACCCCACCGGAACCGCTGCTGTCCACACTCCGCCATGAAGGGCTACGTGCTGGTAGACGTGCTGGTCGTGGTGGGCTTCGCACTGGGAAAGGGTAAGTGGGGCCTGGGGCAGGGAAGGGCAGGGTGAGGGTGCAGCTGGCGCTCCGCAGACCCAGGCCTGCTGCAGGGTAGGGGACACGGGTGAGCCGCTGCTCCCATCGCCCCTTTCTTCCGCTCTGCCCAGCTCCTGTTCCCGAAGTCCGGACCTGCCACTTCTGCCTCTTAGAAGACCCTTTTGTCGGATGCATTTCCGGCTCGGAGAAGTGCACCACCAGCAGCTCGTCCCCGTGCATGGTGATCTCCATCTATTACGGTGAGTCAAGTCCCAGGAGGAGACGGTGCAGCTTGGTCTCCAGAGGGCCGAACTGCCTGGAGCCTGAGTGACAAGAAGATAGCAGAGTTTTGGAAGTGGGGTGGGTATGGAGACCAACTGAGCACGTTTTTCTGGTCCCTTCTGAAGACACTTAGGCTAGAAGTGGGGTCTGGATAAGGGCGGGAGCCCCAGAGGCAGAAGGTCGGGTTTGGGGGCTGTGGGAGGCTGTCATCGGGGTTATCGCTGTCCCCTCTGCTCTAGAGATCAAGGTCCGCTTCAACATCCGAGGCTGTGGACAGATCAATTCCTACCGCTGCCAAGAGAAGCGCCACACTTACTTCGCCCAGTACTGGTACCAGGTGCAGTGCTGTCAGTACGATTACTGCAACTCCTGGGCCAGCCCCCAGCTCCAGAGCTCCCTGCCTGAGCCCTCCGAGGGGCCCCTGGCTCTGCCTCTGTCCGACGCCCAGGCCCGCCGGTTTTACCACGCCCTGAACCTCTCCTTGCCCCTGCCTAGCGTCCATGTAGGGAAGGAGCCTGAAGGCCTGGGCCCCCAGGACCCCCTGGCCACCCTGCCCCTGGCGCTGGGCTTGTCCCTTGCTGACCTGCGACATGTGTACCTGTTCTTCAACAGCTCAGGGCTTCTGGTTCTTCCCAGGGCTGGGTCCTGACACCTTCCTTTCCCACGCTGCACCCCTGGTATCCTGCCGTACCTCACCCTGTGCTCCCTGCGCCCTCCTGGGCTTCCCTCCTTTGACCTAAGTTTTACCCCCCCCACCCCCCCCATCCTGTGTTGCTCTTTCTGCCTCCTAGAAAAACGCTAGTGTAGATTGCTCCCTGGCTGGCGAGAGAAAGGCACAGCGGTTCCCGTCATCGGAGTGCTGCACCCCCCACCCTGGCCCCACGCTGTGTCCACTCAGGCCTGCGCCGTATCCGCTCGGGCCTGTCTCTAAGACTCGGTGGCGCATGGCCTTCCAGCGGGAAGCATGGGTAGAGTCTCTGCAGCTGTCCTGACGCGGCACTCCAGCCCTGCTGCCGCCCGGTCTTCTGCTCAGCCTCGTCGCAGTCCTTGGCCGCCTTGGCCCCTTTTACCTCACTGAGTCCTTGTGCACCTGCTGAAAGGGGAGGAGAGGGCTGTGTGGGTTTGCTGTGTCTCCCATTGCCCTGCACAATAAACCAGGCCGGGGTAACTGCCACCTCGTTTGTGGGGTCAGGTTCTGACGTGGGCAGGCAGAGACAGAGTGAAGAGGGTTAATCGAGCGTAGGATTCAAACAGGACTGCACAACCCTGCCCACTTCCCTTGACATTTTGGCTCCCTCGTACATCTTTGCCCACCCTCTGCTGAGCTGCAGGTCAAAGCGCCAGGATCCCAGCCATGAAACCTGGACCCCAGCCATGAAACCCAGATCCCAGCCTATAAAACCTAGAGAGTTAAACCCAGTTGGTGCCAGAGTTTTTCACTGGAAGAAAAAATTTTCATCCAGGTAGATTTGAGTCCAGTTCCGAGGGACCTGGGCTTCTGCCTGTCCTTGGTTCTCTCCAAGGATCCTGACAGCCAGGAGCCCCTCCATGGAAGTCCGGGTGGAGGGGGCCTGTGACAGGACACTGGTGGGGCTGCAGCAGCTGGCTCTTCACTTGCATGTTCTTGAACATTTGCAAGCACACAGCAGTGACGGGTACAGGTCAACCTTTTGCATGCACTCAACAAACAACATGGCTCTGAGCCAGGCCTGTGTTAAGTCCCAGGACTCCGAGGTGAGTTCTGCCCTCCAGTGTTGCAGCCCAGTGCCAGGATTACGAAATCTTTCTGAGAAGCAGCGCCACGTTGTGGCTGGGAGGCCAGGCCCAGCTGTCCTGCCACTTGGGTCAGTCTGAGTCACTTTGGTCTGCCCAGAGAGGATAATGCCTCTTAGAGTTGAGGGAAGGCGTGTAATGACACATGCACACGGAAACACATGCTCTAGTCAGGTGCAGTAATGCAGGGTGTGCGCTTTCTTGTTGCTGAGACAGTACCTGGCAGCTAACGGTTTTAGGAGACAGCCCACAGCCAGTGGGTTCCAAGGCACGGCCATCATGGTGGAGAAGGCTGCTTGGTTCACGGCAGCTGGGAGGCAGAGCCAAGAAACAGCTCTAGCCAGGAGATGGGCCAGAGTCTCACCTCAGCCAGCTGCTCAGAAGTACCCAGAACTGCTCCACCAACTCTGGGTGACACCACCCAAGCTACTACTGGGGAGGCAGAGGCTGCAAGATCACAAGTTTGAGGCCAGCCTGGGCAACACAGACTTTTAAAAGGCCCTGTCTCAAGAAAGGGCTGAGGATGGAACTCGTACAGCACTTGCCTGCGTGCGGCATGGGTGAGGCCCTGGGTTGTCAGTACAGGGTGTGTGAGTGCTCACACTGGCGAGGTAAATGCGCACAGTTGAGGGCCTGTTCAGTAAGCCTTTCTGACAAAGCATACGGAAGTTTGTACTCAGCCTCCCATCAGCGTAAGACCTCTGCTTGCTCCGGGCTCCTGGGTGCCCCTTCCCAAGCACCCTGACTCTTGGGAGGTTGCCATTGTCCTCAGAGCAGCTGGACAAGTGTGTCTGTGTGCTTGGCGTGATGGCATCACGTGGCACACTCTTAACCTGCATGCTTTGCCGGTTAACACATCTGTTGTGCTGTGGCAGAGACACCAGTGTTAATTTTTAAGTCATAATGTTTAGGCAGTTGGAAATGGTACAGAGAGGAACAAGCTGTCCCCACCCCCTGGGCCCATCTTTCTCCATGACCTCTGTTTTCAGTATAACAGAAAAATCCAGGTGCTGAGACATATACCTATAGCCCCAGCACTCTGGAGGCTGAGGCAGGGGGATCACGAGCTCAGTAGTTAGTGACCAGCCTGAGCAACATAGCAGGACCCTACCAAAAAAGAAAGAAGGAAGGAAAGAACAGGAGAGAGCAGTGTACAGTGGTCCATGCCTGTAATCCCATCAGCCTGGGAGGCTGAGGCAGGAGGATTCCAAGTCTGAGCCCAGTCTGGGTGACTTGGTGACTTAATGAGACTGTCTCAAACGATGGGGGAGAGGACAGCAGAGCCAAGCCAGGCTCACACAGCCCTCAGAGCACAAGCTGGAGGACAGACTGAGGCCCAGGAGCCCTGCCAGTCGCCACCCAGCCATGGTCTGGCCCAGGTCTCGGCACCTGCTAACCTTCCCAGTGTCACCACGGGAGGCTTTCCAGTCCCTTCTCCTCTTTTTACACTGGTGCTGAAGGAGACCCGGAAATGGGGCAGGAGCAGAGCTGGGAGCCCCTCACCTGTCCCTGTGGCCAGCAGGCGGCATGCTCGCCTCCACTTGCCAGAAAAAGATAAACAGAACACTTCGCAGATGGATTTATTTTGCTGCCGAGCGCTGGGGACTTCAGCAGGAGAGGGATTCTGGGGCCAGCGTGGGAGCAGGGAAAGGTGGGGTTATCAGGGAGGCAGGGAGGCTGGTGCTGGGCACTGGGCGTGGCCCTGGCTGAACCCCAGCAGCCATCAGGAAGACAGCTGGAATCGGCATTTACTCTGCGGTCCTACTGAAGGTAGGACTCTCGGTTGTGAGGGTCATTGCAGAAATTCATGAAGCAGCAGTGAGAAAATATCCAGAAGCCAAACACGGGGGCAGGCCGGGTGTCCGTGCAGTCATCCATCTGCTCCCTGCGGCGGCAGTCGCTCACCATGATGTCCGAGCCACTGGCTGGGGGGAGCGCGGGCACGGGTGACAAGGAGGTCTCCCCGCAGAGTCCCCAGGCTGTCGCACCCTCCCTTCACCCGGACGTACCAGTACCAGCCATGCCTTGCGGGGGCCACAGAAAAGACAGAACTGGGCAGGAGTGGGGAGTCCCAGTGCGCCCCCGGCTGAGGGAAGTTTCCCAGGGAAATAGGAGGGAAAGAGCCGTGGAAAACGCGTCAACACGTGGAGGGGGCGGTGCGGGGGGCGAGTGAGCAGTGGGGCAGAAGCCGGGAGGACCTGCACCGTGGGACCGGGCAGGAAAACGAGGAAATGTATCGGGTGGGCTGTGCGGAGGGAGCGGCTGTCACTCGTTCTCTAGACTCTGCCGTTCCCTTCCAGGTGGGGGGATGTTTGTGCCACGGCCCAAGCCGGGGTGCACAATGCAGTTCACTGCTGCCAGCCTGGGGAAGTAAAGTATTAGAACCCGCCTACGTGCCCACTGACAGGGACGGACAGAGCCGCCCGGGCAGGCCGGGCCACGAGTGCCGGGCAGCAGGTCCACAGGACAAGGAAGCAGCTTGCGCATGGCTGTGCAGAAGTGTGGTCTCCGGAGCACAAGGGTGAGTGGAAGGCTGCTGCTGTCTGGGGAGAGGGGTCAAGAGAGCAAGCGCTCTATCTGCACAGGCAGGAGAGGGTGGGAGCCAGGCAGCGGCGCCAGCCGGGAGGCGGGCACAGGAAGCAGCTCTGAAGGAACGACAGAGAAACATCTCAGGGCCGTGGCAAGGGGACTCGGGTGCAGCTCAGGTCGGGCGAGGCTCAGTTCCGCGCAGGGCTGGGCCCGTGGCGGCAGGCGGCGGGGTGGTGCTGTCCGCTTGGTTCCCGGGACTGTGCACCGGCCCCCAGCTTACCGTTCCTTATGTGCAGAGTGATGCAGCTGCTGCCCTCTGGCATGAGGCAGATGTCGGACCCCAGCAGGCACCCCAACTCCTTGGTCTCAAAAAGGCATCGATAGCAGCGCAGGTATCTGCGGAGCGGAGGCTGCTGAGGTGGGTTAGGGTTTGGGTGAACGAGCTCACCTGGGCACAAAAAGCAAACACCCTAAGCCCTCCAGGCTGGTCAGCCCTACCGCTCGCTCCCCACCTCCAAAACCCAAACAGTCCCCCTTCCTGAAAGCCTGGCTTAAAATATCAGAAGCTGTGTTCCTCACAGAAGTCTCCATTCTCTGCCGTCCTCCTTCCAGAGACGACAAACATTAAATCACTCATTCTTTCTTCAACGTGCACTCGGAGAGCTCCCATCGCCCTGTGCTCCGAAAGCTCTGAATTCATAGGGAAGGTTGAAACAGTCCTTCTGTGGCTTGGTTTCTCAGTCTCCCATCCCCGGAAGCTTTCCTGGTCATTCCTTCTTGGGCTTTTGTTTTCTTTGTTATTTTGTCTGGTTTTTGTTTGTTTGTTTGTTTTTTGGTTTTTTCCAGTACTGGGAATTGAACTCACGACCTTGCGCTTGCCAGGCAGGCGCTGTGCCACTGAGCTAAATCCCCAGCCCCTTCTTTGTTATTTTGAACCAGGGGTTTCCTTATGTAGTTCAGGCGGGCCTAAAACTCACTATGTAGCACAGGCTGGCCTCACACCACCCTCCTGCCTCAGCTTCCCGAGAGCTGGGATTAGAGGTCTGCACCACCACACCCAGCTCAGTCCTGTGTTCTTAATCCATACTGTTCAGACGTGAAAGCAACAGCGTGTCACACGGCAGGGACAACCTCTGTGTCAGTGCTGACGGGAGACTTCAAGCAGCCCACACCACTGCTTTTATTTGGGCAGTGCCCTCACTGCACACCCGTCTTAACCTTTACCCACCAAAGCGCCTGTTTTCTGCTGCTTTCGCCAACTATGCGTGTATCCACCCGTCTTCTTCGGTCCTTGACCCAGGCTACATATTAAGGAGTCCCAGACCCAGCAGAGCAGAGGCAAATGCTAAAAGGCAGCCCTTGGAACCCTGCTTCTCAGTGGGTGCGGCGGTTCTCAGGGTGGACTCAGCCTGTAGATTCTGTTCTGTCTGCGTGAGTGTCCCCAGCCCTCCCTCTCCTGTGTTGTCTTCAGCTCTGGAGAGGATCCCTTGGGTGTCTCAACTCGGGTCACGGCTGTTGAGTGACACAGCTCCGGGGTGTCACTGGAAATCTTCCCCAGGGTGAGGCTCGTCCGAGAGTGGGCCCCAGGCCCTTCCTCATCACGCAGCCCCCCCCACGGTTCCTGCTGACGGGTTAGTGGAGCATGCCGGCAGACGGGTCTCCATCTAGCAGGCCAGGAGACCCTTCTGACCCCCTGGAGCTACTCACCAAACACCAAGCTCGTGGTCAGCAGCGCTATCAAGAGCATCTCGCACCGGCTGCCGGTGCCCGGAGCCCCCGCCCGGCTACAGCTCCCTGCCCAGCCCCCTTCAAGTCCGTCACAGTCCGTGCCTTCTAGTCCAGGCTTATATTGGCGGTGGGAGGCTGGCCAAGAGGAAGGAGATGGCAGCATGTTTGGGTGGAAATCAGTGCCAGAATGGCCACAGGGTCACCATGTCCCCACCCACAGCGGGGCTCCAACATCCTGGCTCCGGGCAGGGACCCAGCAACAGAGGGATGAGAGGAGGAAATTGCTTTTATATCCATTCAGCAAACATTTATTGAATCACTGCGTCAGGTGTCGGGTGTAGAAGTGTACAAAGCTCCTCACCTCACAAGGCATAGTTGGAAACAAGGTCAATAAGCAACGGGGTTGGTGAGGCAGAGTGCTGCCGGGAGCACCGGACAGTGGAAACCACTGACTGGGTTTATTTTTTATTTTTTTGGAGACAAGGTCTTGCTGTGTAGTTCAGGCAGGTCTTGAGTTCACTATGTGGCCCAGGCTGGCCTCGAACCCCTATGATCCTCCAGCCTCAGCCTCCTGAGTCCTGGGATTACAGGCGTGCGCCAGCACGTCCAGCTAGGAATTTCAACAGAGTAAAGCGATCTGGCTTTTGTAATAAGTTGGCATTATGGCACACTGGCTAATTTGCGTTAAGAGTAGAGGCCATAAACTAGGAGCGGGGCTGTGCACCTGTCCTCTCAGCATTCTGGGAGGTAGAAGAAGATTTGAGCTCAGCCTGCGCAACTTTGAGACTTAGGGGAGGTCCTGTCTTAAAAAAAAGAAAGAGAAAGAAAAAGAAGCAGCGGGCTGTCAATGCAGCTCAGCGCGAAGCCTGGTCCAGCCCTCCGCGCGGGGAGCGCGCTGTTTCTGCCCCAGGCGCAGGGTGGCGTTCTGGGCTCGCGGGAGAGGCGGGGACGCCAAGCGGGAAAGAAGCCAGGCTCGTTCGGACCAGCGCAGAGGAGCGTCGGGCGGCCTGTGCGGTCAGCGAGGGGCGGGCGCGCACAGGCGGTGACCGCTGGCAGTTCTCCCAGATGGGAGAGGGTACCGCCACACGTCGGATCCCGGGCAGCCGCGGGGTCCGGCCGCGCGCCTCCTCGCCCGCTCCGGCCAGCTCCGCCCGCTACAGCCCAGCTGGCCGGATCTCGGCGCCCACGCGCCCGGCGCCCGCATCCCCCACCGCGCCGCGCCTACGAGCTCCGGGAAGCCGCGGGGCGCCCGCCCACGACCAGACCGCCAGCGGGCCAGGGTCGGTCCCCCGGCCCGGCTTCCCCAAAGGCGGCACCCTGCCCGCCCCGTCCACACGGACCGGGTCTCCGCCTCGCGCCCGCGGGGTCCCCATCTCGCCGGCTCCGTCGCGGGGAGGCCGTGCGATCTCGGGGCGTCGAGCCGGCCGGAGCGCGCGCCCGGGGGCTGGGGAAGACGTGGGCCCAGAAATGAGCGGCGTCCGGAAAGCAGTGGAGAGGCGGAGGGCAGGAGGATCGCTGTGAGTTCGAGGCCAGCCCGGGCTACATAGTGAGACCCTCTCAAAAAGACAGACCAAAACCAAACAAAACAGGTCTATGGACGGGGAGCACTTCGAGTGCCAGGCAAACGTGAAGACAGGAGGCTCCTGGCGGAAACTCGCGGCACCCTCGGAAGACCTCTCTCGAGTCTGACGGCCAAGACCAGCGCCAGAGCGCCCGAGTTGAGGCCGGGCTCCCGCAAGGGTCGCCCTGAGAGGCGCTGCGGGTTTGCAGTGGGTTACAGCGCCCGCGCCGGAGCTTGGCCCGGGGTAAAACAGGGGAGGGCGTGGCCTTCCTCTATTAACCCCGCCCCTTTAAGCTCCTCCCCTATTTACCGGCAGGGCGAGGCGGGGTTGATGCGTTTCCATGGAGACCGTTTCCATGGAGGCTTCCCGGGGTTGAGGCCATAGTCGCCATAATGACTAGCAGTGGACAGCATCCATGCCGTGAGGGATGCCCCTCTGTCAAAGGCTACCTGGGATAAACATCCGTTATGAAACTCAGGAGGCAGAACCTGAAGCCTGAACACCACATTTAAGGGACTAGGGTGAGGGAAACTGAGGGACTGGCCAGAGGGTCTGTAGCCTGAATGTGGATGAATGACATGGGTTCCCCATGATGACACATATCTGTAATCCCAGTGCTCTTGGAGGCTGAGGCAGGAGGTTTGCAAACTGAAGCCCAGCCTGGGCAACTGAGCAATTTAGTGAGACACTATTAAAAAAAAAAAAAAAAAGGCTGGGAATGTTGCTCAGCGCTATCCCCAAGGCCTGGGCCACCATCCTCGGGGGCCCTCCCTGGTGACAGCTGCTCCAGACACACAGGCCTCTGGGCTCCGCAGCCCTCCCCGGAAGCCTGGGTCCGTGAGCTAAGGTGGGGTGAGGTGTGATTTGGGCCCGGTTTCCCGCCGGCTCGGAATTCCTTTCTCCTAGCTTCACCCTCGCCAGATGTGCCCAGCTGCTTGGGTGCCTGGGCGTTCAGCACGGTCCGGAGCCCCAGCAGTTGTGGGGCATCCACGCGAGGGGACCTGCCGGTTCTGAAGGGAACGCGGTGCTGCGCTGGCAGTGGCAGTCATGGGATGTAGACTGAGGCCCAGTCAGCCGCCCCCCACCCCCACTTCACGTGTCCAAGGGGAAAGCGGCAGTGGGGCATGTCTGCCGAGTCCGAGTAGCTGTGGCAAGGAAGGGGGCGCCTTGTCTCAGGGTGTGGGTGCCCCATGTTTGCACTTAAGGAGGTTCCCTTAGCTGAACAAGGGAGGCCTCCAGAAGATCACCTGTCCCGCGGATTGGGGGGCCGAGGTTCAGAACCGTGCTGCTGACCCCCAGCTCCGCACTGCATGCTCCCCATGCTGTGGGCTCTGGGGGACGGGACGGGACAGATGGTGCCAGCATCCGCTCTCACCCACGGCTCGCTCACGGTGGAGCATTCCAGAGCTGGGGTCACCGCCTTCTGAGCCCAAGTTTCAGGGATCACACCAGCTGGTAAGTCTGATTCCCTTCCTGTGGGGTTCCCTGTACCAGTGGTGGTGAACCTATGGCACGCATCTGTTTTTCTTCTAAGATAAAAGATGTTACCGTATGAATTTTTTCTCCAGTACCGGGAACTGAACTCATGACCTTGTGCTTGCCAGGCAGACGCTTTGCCGCTGAGCTACATCCCCAGCCCTGAATTGTTTTTTCTAAACTAAACGCTCAGTATTCAGCTTAACTGTAGTGTTGGTACTTTGCAACAACTGGAGAGGTTTGGGCTGCAGTTTGGGCGCTTGGCTCTAAAAGGTTCACCATCAGAGTCCTATGCCTTCCTTAAGGAGGTGCTGAGAAATGGGGCAGAAGTTAGAGAAAGGTCAGGCGCTAGGAGACAGAAACCAGCCAGACTCCAGCGCATCGCAACAGTCATTCCTGGTAAGCACTTTTATTGTTTTTGAAATGGACAGAGTCTTGCTATATAGCCCAGGCTGGCCTTGAACTCTAAGCAATCCTCCTGCCTCAGCCTTGAGTGCTTGGATTGCAGGGTGCGCCTCCACACCTGCATACCTATTAAGCAAAGCATACTGCTCCTTGGAAGGTCAACTTGGGGATATTTCTCCGGGAAGAGAGAAGTTTTCCAACAGGGAAGACGGCGCGGCAACAACCCGAGGGGTGGGATATGGGCTTACTCTGTCCCACAGATGCAAGGGTTAGAAACAGAAGTTATGGAAGCCGACCTCCTTAGGTTCAGCCTGAGAGTTTTCTTCCGGCAGAGCTGTCCCAAAGAGGAACATGGCTCGGGAGGGCAGGAGTCAGGCGTCAGCCCTCACCCCTGCCCCAGCAGGCCGTGTGAATGCTGAGGGCGTGAGATGTGCGGGCTGCACGGGCGATGAGGCTGCGCAGGGTGAATGGTGCAAGATGCGGGGCTGGCGCGCCTCATCCCGGGCACAGCGAGCGCTGAGCAAGGAAAACCGGGGGCCCCGGAGCGGGGGCCATTGCAGGGTGGCCGCAGAGATCAATGGAGCTGAGCAGGTGAAATCGGATCCTGAGAAGCACTTTGCCAACAGCAAAGCTGGAGCGTTCCCAGCAAGAGGGGTGCCCGGGCTGGGTGGCACAGGACGGACTGCGTGGGGGTGGCCAGGCAGACCGAGGGCCTGGGGCGCAGGGGCGGGAGCAAGCAGCTGGCGGCCTGGAGCGTTTCCCACAGCCTGGCCCCTCGGGCCTGCTTCCTGGATACCAGCCCCTCGGTCCCTGGGCCCTTGGGAGGTCGCACCATTAGACAGACAGTAGAAAAAATACTTTTTATTAATTATTAGGAACGACGCATTCACCTAATGCAGGGCGTGGCGAGGGGGTGCGTGCACGAGGAGTAGCGTGGGGAGGGCGGCCCACGGTCACAGACGACCCACAGCCACACACGGGAGCCCAGCCGCGGGCGCCCTCGGGCCCCAGCTCTCCTTCCAGGCCAGCCCCCGCGGTCCCTAGAGGTGCCAGGGCATCTGGAAGTGCTGCGCTGGGAGCGGGGTGCAGTGTGTGGCCTCAAAGTTGTGCAGATGCTTCCGCGCCTGAGAGAAGAGCAGGTAGGAGCTGCGCGCTGTGGGGAGCAGGGCCTGGACCCCACAGCCCCCGCCACGACACGCACAGGGATTCCCAGCCCCAAGCCCCGTAGAAGCACCTGCCCCCCGCGCCTGCGCTCACCAGGAACAAAGCCAGCTGCTGGCGTCCCTCTGCCTTCATGTCCTCCCCTGCGGAGAGGAGACGCTCAGCGCCCGCAGCATCCCCGGGCTCCTCCGCCCACTCCTGCCCGGGCCCCCTTACCCACGCTCCAGGGGAAGTCTGGCCCGTGCTCCGCCTGGTAAGAGCGCAGCACCGACACACACCAGTCCTCCTCCACCTCCCAGCGGCTGTATATGGAGGCTGTGCGGGGGACAGAGCCTGGCTCAGGGCGCTGCCCCGGCCCGCCGGCCCTGCCCTCCATGGGCCCCGCCTCCCGCGCTCACCTTCCTCCAGCTGGGAGGAGGCCTCCAGCCACTGCCTCACCACGCGCAGGCCCTCCTCGGCCATCACTCGAGGGTACCTGCAGAGGGGCGGGCGGCAGTCGGGCTGAGCTCGGTTGGCCGCAGGTGGAAGCTCCTGGCGCTCCCGGGCCTGGGCCCCCCGCCCCGCGCTCACCGAAACTGCAGGAGCTTCAGCAGGAGGTCGTTGCCTCGGTTGGACATGACGTCCTCAGGAACCCTGCGGACGACACCGTTACCCTGGGGTGGGGGGGCAGGGGTCCCTGGGGGCAGAGGTGGCAGGGGCAGCTCCCCGACACTGCTGGGCCGTGGGGCGGAGGCGCCCACTCACGTGGTGGTGATGATCTCATCCTTGGTTCTCCGGATCAGCAGCACCGGGCCCTGGTACCTTCAGCACAGAGCAGCGGGGAGAGCTCAGAGGGAGACAGGTGACACGTGACAAGTGGCCCGCCACACCCTGGCCACAGCATTCTTACCCCCAGCACATCTGAGGCCGGGACTGCTCAGTGGCCCCGAGGGGAGGCCCCGCGGTGCCCAGCAAACTCTGCTAGCCAGGTCATGCGGAGGCGCGGGGCTTCCGGCCCGCAAGGGGCTGAGCCATCCGGTAGTGGCAGGGTCACTAGGGGAACACGGGCACGGGGAGCACCAGCTCCCCTTCCATACCCATCCCCGCAGAGCTGTGTGGGTGCGGCGGGTGGGCGGGGCCGGGGTGCGGACCCCTCCAGTCCTCACCTGCACAGCTGTTCTGCATTGTTCAGATTGAGGTGCTGCCTCACTGTCCTGGTCACCAGGGCCCCTAGAATGGGACGGAGGTGAAGGCAAGGTCCCCACTGCTCACAGGGCCACGGGGCAGGGGAGTATTCCTGAGGGCGCTGCTCCCGTCCCCAGGGAGAGCCCCCCAACCCGCCCGCCGCAGGTGGCCCGGGGCTGCACTCACTCCAGCTGTCGGGCATGACCTTCAAGGCCAAGGGCACCAGGTCATCGAAGGAGGCGTCCAGGATCACAGCACTGATGTCTGGGTAGCACATGGCTGCCCACGTGGCTGGTACCAGGACAAGAGGACCAACACTGAGGGGCCCCTGCCCCCACCACTGCCCATGGCACCCCGTCCTCCCTGCATCTCCTCGGCCCCACTTCTCAGCCAGGGTGAGTGCAGGGGAGACCGAGGCAGAAAGAGCTTCCCTTCCCAATCTCCCCACCCCAAGCGCAGGTCTACTTCCTTCACCCACCAGGCTCATGCGGAAGGAGCTCGCTCCACCTCCCTCTCCTCCTCCCTCAGCCTCCCCCTGGCTCCCGGCCACCAACAGGGGCCCCTCCTCCCCTGGGAGGGGCACAAGCGTGTCTGCACTGGGTGCGCGGCGCTGGTACCAGTGAAGCCGCCGATGGACCAGGCGTAGACGACGATGTCCTGGGGCTGGAAGCCCAGGCGGTGGATGGCGAACTGGACCACCACGTCCATGGCGTTGGCCTCGTTCTGTGGGAACGGCACCCCCTGTGGGAGCGAGGGAGAAGCCGTTCACCTGCCACCCGCAGCCCGCACCACCTCCCCTACCACCCGCGGCACATGCCTGGGCGCAGATGAGGGTGCCCTCCAGGCCACGGTGTTCACAGCCCCCAACTCTCCCCAGCCGCCCCATGCCTTACATCCCTCAGCACCAGGTCACGCAGCGGAGGCCCCGCAAGGTATGCACCCCGTTTCCTGCGTCCAGCGGCTGACCAGAGGGAGACCGACAGAAAAGGAAAAGGGACGCCAGAGAGGGTCTCACCGTGCTTCCCGCGAAGCCGGGGTGGTTCCAGCCCAGGACTGAGTAGCCAGCTGTCACATAGGAGAAAAGGACTGAGACCCGGTGGCCCACGCCTCTCTCCCTGTCCCTGGGGGAAAGGACGGCAGGACGGCCCCCAGCCCAGGGACGGGCCAGGGAGACAGCAGAGAGGTGTGGCTGGGGGGGCAGGGCTGACAGGAGCTGGTGAGGGTTAGGGAGGAAAGGATTTCCGGAGGCGAGACTCAGGCGGGCCGGGATGCAGTGGAGGCCAGCCCCGGGTCACGGCGGCGTGGGCGCTCGGCTAGTCTGTCCCAGGGCCGAGCCACGGGCCTACCTTCCAGGGGCGTGGAGACGCAGCCCACCTCGTAGAAGCCCGCGTTCCCCTCACAGCAGATGACCTGCGGAGGAGGCAGGAGGAAGGGCCGCGTGGGGGTGTGGAAGGAGCCGGAGAACTGCCGAGCAGGGCAGAGGAAGGGGCAGGTCTGCTCCCTCCAAGGGACAGAAACTTATTCCACAAGGTCCACAGACAGAGGCAGACGACCCAAGTGCCCAGCACACGGGCCCAGGAGGAAGACGCCCCAGACGAACTCTCAAGTGCCCAGTGCAATAGCCACGTCTCCCCAGGAAGCTCTAGAATCCAGCCCTAGATTCCTGGCCCTGTGCTCTTTCAGGGCCGCTCCATGGAGGCAGGAGACTTCCTCTGCGCTCAGTTTTGCCATCTACACGATGGGCTAGCAGGCCAATCGGACGAGGCTCACGGCCTGTCGTGAGTTACACATCTCGGTCGTGGTACATGCTGTCTCCGTGGTGACTGCGGGGATTATTATTTTTTGGTTCTTGCAATGTCAACACCCACTTCTTGGTCTATTTTCCCGTCTCAGAGTTTTCCTACATAAAAGGTCTTAGGGTGGGGCTGGGGCACGGGATTATTCCCTGCTGGGGTTCCACAGAGTAGATGTTATAAGACTGGGGTCCCAGAGCTCCGTGACCCTCCGCATACTCTGTCTCTGGGCCCCTGAGCCCTCTCACCAGCTTCTGTCCCTGGGGCTCAGCTGTCCCCCGCCGGTCCACAAACATGGTGTCAATCTCGTTGCCGTCACAGGCCAGCAGCTTTGCGCGGCGCCCGTTACACTGCACGGGGGAGGGGGAGGGAGAGCGGCCCAGCTGTGAGAGGCCGCAGCCCGTCCTGTCCGGTCCTGGGAGAAGGCCAGGGGGAGGGCGCGGGGCGGCGCTCACCTCCTCCACCAGCCGGGCCTGGCCCTGCAGCAGCACCGGCATGAGGGCCTTCTGGAGCAGGTACACGGAGCCGGGGTACAGCATCCGGCGGCCCAGCGTGTGCGCCACCAGGTAGCTGTGGGGACACGGGGTCATGAGCGCCCAACCCCGGTGCAGCCCAGGGTCCTTCTCTGCCCCAGACCCACAGATTCTGGGGCCTGCTTCACCCTGACCTTCCGAGCCTCCCTGTCCTAGATAAGAGTTAATGAAATAATAGAAGCACCAGGCTAATGAAGATATAAATTTTATGTTCTGTCCAGGATACACACACAGATGTTCCTCAACTTAAAATGGGTTACTTCCCAATAAAACCACTGAAAGCTGAAAATATGGAAAGTTGAAAATGCATTTAATGCACCTAACAACACACGTCATAGCTTAGCCACCCACGACACTGTGGGGAACTGGTTTACCCGTTATCGCATGGCTGATGGGAGCTGCGGCTCCCTTCCGCTGCCCGGCATCTCTCCAGAGTATCGTGCTGTAAGAAGCGTGGTGTGGTGGTGCACACCTGTAACGCCAGCACTTAGGGAGGCTGAGGCAGGAGGATCACAAAAAGTTGGGAGTCTCACCTGAGCAACTCAGCAAGACTTGGTCTTAAAATTTAAAAAAAAAAAACAGAACTTAAAAAATAAAAGGAAGGGCTAGGGATACAGCTCAGTGGCACAGGGCCTGCCTGGCAAGCGCAAGGACCTGAGTTTGATCCCCCATACCATAAAAAAAAAAAGAGAGGAAAAGGCCGGGGATGCAGCTCAGTGGTAGACCATCCTTACATGTGCTCTCCAGTCCTAGCCCTCAAAAATCCAAAATGTGAAGTATGGCTGGGCATGGTGTAGGCCTCTAGTCCCAGCTACCTGGTAGGCTAAGGCAGGAGGATCACCCGAGGCCAGGAGTTCAGGGCCAGCCTAAGCAACACAGCTATACCTCATCTCAAAAAAACAAAAACTAAAAACAAAACACGGTGCTGCCCCAAAGGTTATGTAGAAATCCAGTAGCCAATGTGATGATATTTCGGTACACAGGGTCTCTGGGAGGTAATTAGCTTAATATCCTTGTAACAGAGGCTCCATAGGTGTGGTGGCGCACGTGCCTAACCCCAGCACTCACGAGGCTGAGGCAGGAGGACCGCTACAAGTTGAGACCAGTGAGTTCAAGACCAGCCTGAACTACACAGAGAGATCCTGTCTCAAAAAATAAATTAATTAAAATTAAATTAAATAGGCTCCAGCGAGTTGTGAGGATACAGCAAGAAGATGCCCCCTATGAACCACAAAATGAGACCTCATCAGACACCACACGTGCTGATGCCTTGATCATGGACTTTGCAGTCTCCAGAACTGGGGGAAATTAACTTTCTGTCATTTACAAGCTAAAAAACAAAAACCCATCAAAACAAAACAAAACCCCACCCACGTGTGGTAGCACAGCCTATAATCCCAGGAGGCAGGAGGCTGAGGCAGGGAGATCATGAATTTGAGGCCAGGTGGGGCTACATAATGAGACCCTGTCTCAGAAAGACAGAACAAACAAAACCCAACCTAATTCGAAGCATGCTACCACGGTAAGTTGGGGACCATCCATATATGATTCTGAGAGTCTTACAACATAGTACTTCTTAGGTACAGGAAGTACAAGCAAAGTTATTACCAAATATGATTTTGTTAATACAAAAACACAACTTACTAAAAGCCCTCAAGTAGGCCTGGGGGAGGTAGCTCAATGGTAAAGCACCCGCCCAGCATGCACAAGGCCTTGTATATGCCCAGCAACCCCCTCAAAGTCTCCAGATATTTTTTGTTTGTTTGTTTGTTTGTTTCCAGTACTGGGAATCAAACTCACGACCTCACGCTTGCCAGGCAGATGCTGTGCCGCTGAGCTAAATCCCCAACCCATTTTTTTTAAATAATGCTTTTAATACACAAATAATTTCAAGATTCACTAGCGGGTCAAGGACCATATCTGAAACAAGCTAGATCACAAACTCCGTCGGGGTAGGAGCCGGGGGCCTTGTTCACCGCGAAGGGCCCAACATCTGCCACAGATGTGCCCAGAGCACGGCACAGGCTTCGCAGCCACCAGGAGCGCGTATACTAATCAACCCCGACATCAGCGTGGGGACACGGGCACGGCCGGGTCACCCCCACTTCCTGAATGTACTGCACAGACAAACTGTAGGTGTGTTCCTAAAAGAGACGATGAACCACTTCCAGTTCACCCTGAAGGCGTATCTGTCCCCAAAACATTGCACAGCCCTGCCCAGCGCCCCTTCCAAAACCCCAGACCTGGTTTTCAGACCACTCAGCAGCGTGCCGTGACGTCACCCAGCCAGCCGAGCCCCCTCCTCGGTTTCCGAGGCCCTGCTGCCCACCTCTCACAGCCACAGGCAATGCCCACTGTCTGCTCCACGCAGGACAGGAGTGGTCACTGCCGTTACATCTGACATCCGCACGGTGACTTGGCTTTATTTGACCTTACCATGCCCTCAGGCACTAGCGCGAGGTGGGACCCTCCAGAAAGACCTCCGTACAAGATCTGCACAATGCGGGAGGCAGACTTCGCAGCGGCGGAGAGAGGCGCGGCGGGCCAGGCCGGAGAACCAGGAGCACAGCGGCCGGCGCTGTGGTTCAGAGCAGCGGGCTGGCGCCAGCTGCAGCCTCCCCGCCCCTCCACCCGCCCGCGGCTCCCGCTCAGCCTCGCTGAAGGACTCCTGTGCGGGACAGGGCTGCACTCACACCCCAGCTCTTCATCTGCTACCTGAGAGACTGTGGACTCCGGGCTCCTGCTTCACACACAGGTATGAAGGAAAGGGTGCACAGAAGCCCAGCGCACTTGGCCCCGTGAGTGACAACTGCTCCACCGTGGAGCGCCAGACCTGGGGCCGTCGCCCCATCCCTGCACCCCACCACGGCGATTTCCCACCTGGTAATCTGACAGGGCAGCTTCTTCACCCGGTTGAGGAAGGTGTCCGCTGTTCCCCGGTGCAGGGGCTCGGGGCGAAGCAGGGCCACGCCGCGGCGGGAAGGGCCCCCTCGGGACTCCTTCCTAGAGGGAAGGGGCGGAGGGGGTCGGAGCTCTGAGGACCCGCCGTGAGGGGTGGAGGCGGGGACAGGGCGGTGCAGGGATCGCGACCCGCAGCTCCTCGGAGGGACTGGGCCTCACCGGCTGCTGGGCTCTTCCCAGTGGAAGTCCACCGGCCAGCTCCTGAAGTCGAAGTTGTAGTTGGCGAGCTGCCTCTGTGGCGGGCAGGGCAAGGAGGCGGGTGAGAAGGGAGAGAAAGGGGCCTGAGAACGGAGCGGAGCCCTGCCGCCCGCGCAGCCCCGTGGCCCCGTGGCCCCAGCCCCACACATCCCGGGGAGCCCAAGCCCGGGCCTGTGTCTCCGGCTCTCAGCTGAGAACTCTGACGTGCCCGGGACGTCAGGCAAGGCAGGTGCTCCTCGGCCATCAGCCCCAGCCGTGCGGACACCGAGCCGGGGCCCCGCGGGAGGGGAGGGCGGCTGGCGCTCTCCAGGCGGCTGGGCTGGGAGGTGGCCACGGGCTGGGCACTCCTGCTACCTGACCCTTCAGGGATCTCAGAGCAAGCCGAAGTCCAGGACTGCGGGACAGCAGGGCAGTCCCATTATGGGGGTCCCCGCACAGGGGTCTCCGGCTGAACGACATCCTGCCGGTCCATCCTCACCACCCCGCCCTCCCCTCGGCGCCTGCAGCCACGGCCCACGCTGCCCCGGGCCCACCCGCGCTTCCGGTCGCAGCAGGGTCCGTCCACTGCTTCTCGGGCAGCACCAGCCGAGCCGTCACTCCCTGCAGGCTTCCGCCCCCACCCCCAGAGCTCCCAGCTCTCTATTTTGAGGGTTGTTTTGTTATTTTCTGTCACAGAAATTTTTTGACATTTTCAAAAATAACTTAACTAAAAGAGAGCAACAGGAAAATTATACAAATATGTAAATGACAAATCCGAATGAAGAAAAGCCAGTTTCCGCCAGGCTTTGCTGAGACCTGCTCTCCCATCGAGGCCCGTCCGGCCTCCGCCCTGGGACTCTGCATGAGTCCCTTAACCTCTTTTGCCTCTATTTCCTCAGCTGCGCAAATGAGATAATTACGCCACCGCACGCGGCCGCCGCCAGGATTAGAGGGTGCGTGCAACATGCAAAGTGCCCCACACACGGCGGCCAGCGCGGCAGCGACAAATTACACGCTCCGTGCGGGTGGTGTGGAGCAACCCTTAGCGTGATGACAGTGCTCGCGGCTGTGTGAAGCCAGAAACCCCTCGCAACAGGAAGAAGCTTTACGGGGCGCAGGGCCCTTTCCCAAAGATAATCACACTCCAGCACCGGCAGGGCTGGCACAGCTTCAAGGACGGGGCGCCCCGGCTTCTGCTTGGCACCACGCCGTGCTCCCCATCGCAGGGGTGGCCGCACCTGTCCGTCTCATCCCTCCCCAAACAGAGCTAACAAGGCGTCAGGTGCACACAACGAAAACAAACAGCTGAGGTGCCGCCACAAAAGAAGACTCTCGTCCAGCACCGTGGCTTTCCCACGTTCAGGCAATGCCCGCGGACCGAAGTGGGAGCAGGGGAGGCTGCTCTAGCAGAAGCTCCACGGGAAGTGGTAGGGAGGGCAGGCCGTGGACGGAGGGGCGGAGGGGACAGCAACGCGCAGAGGAAGGCCCGCAGTGGCGGGGCCCAAACACGACCGCCGCGCCTCTCCCGCCGACGCTGAGCCTGGTGCTGGGCGGGCGGCGCGCGGGTCTGGCGCCTTTCCTGGAACCGCTCACCTTGTTTTCTGCAGACTGGTTCCGATGTGTGGCCTCCAAGATGCTGATGAACTGCCGGTACTGGGGGTTGGTCCAGCGGCCGATGCCTGGCAGAGAGAGGACAGGAAGCAGCATGAGGGCAACTGGCAAGCAGCGGGTTTAAAAGAACAAGACGGGGGCTGGGGATTTAGCTCAGCGGCACAGCGCCTGCCTGGCAAGCGCAACGTCGTGGTTTCAATTCCCGGTACCGGAAAAAAACAAACAACAAAACAAAACAAAAATAAATAAATAAAAGAACAAGACGGGCAAGCATGCTCTGGAGAGCGGAGTGAGAGAAGCAGCAGCTGAGGGCCTGTGCCACGGGAAAACAGATCTTTCTCCTGACGACTGGTTGCAGGGTTCTTTTTCTTAGCTTTCTCTTCAACTTCTTTCTAGCTAGACCAGCCAGCCCCCACCTCGCAGATCGCTCGCTCCACCCGTTAGCGCACCGGCACGCACCCGCTGCTACTCAGGCCCTGTGTGCGCCTGCCAGGCTTCCGTGGCATCGCTTTCTAACCCCACCGTCTGGCTTCCCGCCTCCTGCCCTGACCACGCGCTTTCCCACTGCGGCCAAGCGCCTGTCCCGCCTCCTCCTCCCCTTCAACATCTCCACTCTGCACAGTTCCTGCTCCTCAAGAGTCTGTCTAGTCGGGAGTGGTGGCGCACACCTGTAATCCCAGCACTCAAAGAGGCTGAGGCAGGAGGATTGATGCAAGTTTGAGAACAGAAGGGCTACAAAGTGAGCGCAAGGCCTGAACTGCATAGCGAGACACTGCCTCAAAAAGACAAACAACTCTTTTAGGAGTCTGTCCCCCTCCGCTTCCTGGGCCTATTCTTTTTTTTGTTGTTTATTTGTCTGTCTGTCCGTTTGTTTTTTGACATAGGGTCTTGCTGTGTAGTTGAGGCTGGCCTTGAACTCACTATGTAGTCCAGCCTCAAACTCTCGGAGATCCTCCTGCCTCGGCCTCCCGAGCGCTGGGATGACAGGCATACTGCACCATGCCTGGCCCTGGGCCCATTCTTGCCTTCACCCAGTTCCTAAACTGTTCTTCTCCTGCCTTTCTCTTTCCCTCTTGGAAGGCAGTGATTCCCAGAGCCGCCCCCTCTCTCTGCATTTGCTCCCGAAGGGGCTGCATCTGTCCTCCTTCCCTGCAGAGGAGCCCCCACCTTCCCCTCTCCCCTCTTGGACCTGGCAGGCATGTGCCAGGCCCATCCTACCCATAGGAGACAGGCAGGAAATGAGGCACGCAGCCCAGCCTCAGGGAGCTGGCACTCCTGCAGGGTGAGGAGGGACTGAGGAAAGGAAGGAAACGAGGAAGCTTCGGACAGAGGTAAGCGCAGCAAAGACAATAAAAACAGGACAAACTAGAGCCCGGGGTGCCGTCGAGGGCAGCACTCGAGCAGCATGATAACAAGACCCTCAAGCAGGCCGCAGAATGAGCTGAGCGGAGCGGTGCCACTCGTGCCAAAAATGTAAAACGCACACGTAACACGGCTATTTACGATTCTTACCGTATTTCATACATTCTCAGATGCTTTTTTTGTGTGTGTGTGTGTGTGTGTATGTGTCTGTGCAGCACCAGGGACTGAACTCACACTAAGCTCCTTCCCAAGCCCTTTCTCTTATTTCTTTTGAGACACAGTCTTGTTAAATTGCCCAGGCTGGACTTGGACTCGCTGCAATCCTCCTTTCTCAGCCTGAGTCCTGGGGTTGCAGGCCTGGCAAGAAATATGGACCAGAATAAAACCTCCCCACCTGACGACTGTTACCGCTGGTGAAAGAGCATGGGAGTGGGGGATTCCAATCGCGTCAGCAGCTCAACTGCAGTGGTTTAGTCATTTTACAGACAAAAGTGATCTGAAGTAAAACAGCTGGGCCTGGTGGCACGCGCCTGTAATCCCAGCACTCAGGAGGCTGAGGCAGGAGGATCATTGTGAGTTCAAGGCCAACTTGGGCTACAAAGTGAGTTCAAAGCCAGCCAGAACTGCATAGAGAGACCCTGTCTCAAAAGGGCAATCAATCAATCAATCAATCAATAAAACATTATGTTTTTTAAAAAAGCAAAGCAAGCTGGAAGTGGTGGCACACACCTATAATGCCAGTACTCTGGGAGGCTGAGGCAGGAGGGCCGCAAATTCCAGCCTAGCAAGGGCTCCTCAGTGACTTAACAA